TGGGGTAAAACCAGAGAGGATGGGAAACCCCATGTCCCTATTAAGGTCCATAGGGTCCAGGCAACAATCTGAGTAGGAGAGAAGCCACACTGGTCAGGAAACCCCTTTGAAATTCTCAGGGAACTCTTCAAGATTGTGTCTAAGGAGAACCAGAAGAATTCCTGGCGCTGAAGGAGAGAAGTGAATACAAGCCTTATGGAGGAGGAAGATAAGCAAAATGGAATCCTGCTGAGCCTTCTGTTTTCACCTCTGCCCTGTCCCATGGAGAGAGTCCTCTCATCATCCCTTCCCCCAAGGTAAAATGGATAATTGGACAGGAGATAGCTACAGGGTTTCTGAGGCTTTTGGTGTGATTTCTTTAAGTTATAAAATTAATACAAAATACGGATTCTTCTGGAGAGATTGTCACTGGTATTTTTACTGAATGGTTTACCAGTGTTAATCAGTGTTTCTACTCACCAGTACAGGAAGTATCAGTGCCAGGTAACCACCAGTGAAAATGGCAAAGAAGATGGTGTAGGTCATAAGTAGTGGAAATGTTGTGGCTAGAGGAGCAAGCAGGTTAATGATGCCGCAGAGGATGAGGTAAGACTTGTGGTAGTGATACTTCTTGATCCAGTTTTGATCAGCAACCCATCCAGAAATTATCTGACTAACTGTTTCAGTGATACCTGCAACAATACAGAAGTCGTCTTAGAAAATCCAAATTCCATTTTCCAGGTCCCGTTGCAAAATGAATGTAGATATCTTTTCTCAATGTGACCCCATACCAAGGACAAAATGTGTGGGGGAAAAAAAAAAAACTGGTTTAATTTGTGTGCTGATAGGGTCTACCATTTCTTACCTGTTTCAAACAACATTTCATAAAATACCAAAAAGACTGCTCCAGGATTTGGTAGAAGACCATCATGTTGTCACAAGTGTTTTCTGATTGTGTTTTGAAATCTCATACTGCTGAACTGAGAATCCTAGTTACAGTGGACCCTAAACTCAAGAGGCCTTGCATTCCCTTTGGTCCTACAAGTGAGGAAATGAGATTGCTGAGTAGCTAGGAGACCCTCAGGTTAGTGTTCTGGAGAAGTCATGTGGTGAAAGGTTGGAGTATAAAAAGTCTTAATTTAAAAAAAAAAATACATAGATGTTGGTGCTTTTATTTTTATAATTGCATTTGAAGTTTGGGGGATTAAGACCTTCAAAGGTCATTAAGCTTTATTTGAAAATATGTAGGAAGTCCTGGAAATGGGAGATCCTATTTTGAATATTGGAGCTACGGTATAACTTGAAAAAGTTAAGAATCATGTTTTTCCCCTACTCGGTTTTATGATAACAGAGTATTCTTACCCTTTATTCTAATACAGATAATGTAGCAATTAAATACTAAAATAGAGATCTTCACCAAGAGTAGCATGAACTCCAGTTGTGTTGGCCTTCATATTCTTCCTGTAGTTCAAACATCAATTCCTCCATTAAAAGGGGGAATTAAAAATGGACATTGTCATTCCTGTGAGGGATCTTCAAGAAGTTCATAGAAAATGCATATCATGAAAAACCTAAATGGATTTAAAAAATGTTTTTTGCACCAAAATGAATTTTTATCTAAGTGTCCTTGTAAGCATGTGGAGATCGTTATTTCCTAGGACACATCTTGATGCTTTATGTTTTGCTTTTTATTGCCATTGTATGGCCCTGATCTGATTTAAATTGATATTAGCAGACATTTTAATGGGAAAAAATGTGTAGTCATTTGTCTTTCTTGTGTGTATAAGTTTTATTTAATTAAAGCAGAAGATCTTTGCAATTGGAATATTTGAAACTGCATACATTCAATTTTGTAAGAACATGATAAATGCAGTTTTTTTTTTCCTGAAGAAATTAGTACAAGGAAAGTTAAATGGCTGAGAATTTCCAAGTAGTTTGAGCAAATCAGTTTCATGTCATCCCTTTTCACTGTTTTGTCAGTTAAGAGAGTCCTGTTTCCATTTTTATGAATATTCAACTAAAACTGGTTTTTATTTTTAGTTTACATTCTCATTTATTTAAATATCAGCCAACCCATTGACTAGCAATACTTAGCTACAAGTTTCAGTAGAAAATTATTTAATATTTGCTGTGGGCCAGGCACTTTATTAAACTCCACCTGCATTACTTTTTAGTCCAGACAACCTTATGAAGGTAGATGCCATTATCCCTATATTACAGATGAGGAAATTAAGGTACAGAAAAAGCAAAACATGGCCCAAGGTCACACATCTCAGAAATAAAAAGCAAGAACTTAAACCAGGCTTCTTTTTTATTGTTGTTTTTCTTTAGTTTATATTAATAATAAAAGTTTGTAAAATTCAGCTCATTTTTCTTTTTGAGTAGGAGGCTGAAGTAGGCTTTCTTACCAGCTACAGACACGAGGTAGGAGGCATCCATTACGTCAATCCCCAGTGTTTTGGCTCTGGCCACCAGATGAAAGGTAGGGACGAAATAGGCTAACTGACTGAGAAGAAAAGACCAGGTAAATATGTAGAAGAAAGGATTCCCAAGGAGAGAAGTATCAAAGAGTTTCTGTTTGCAGCTCCATGAAATAGCCTTTTTCTCATAAGTTTCTTCATTACTTATTAGCAGCATTCTGTTCCTCTGAGGCTCGTTGAACTCTTCCCTTTGATTTTGTGAGACTGTTAAACTTTTACCAGCTTGTCCAGCCTTCTGCTTGGGGCTGCCCTTGTTGGTAGATTCTTGTGTTTCATCGCCATATGTTTCTGTCTCACATAGTTCCACCGGACCGTTTTGGGGCAAACTACTGTCTTTAATATCAGAATTGTTCTTACTTTTGATATGTATGGGTCTTAAGAGCATACTAGAAGGCACCAAATTCAGCGCAATAGCTCCAAATAATATCAGGGCCCCTAAATAGGAGAGAGAAATTGAGAAGTTAACAAAACCTCTCATTTGACAACAGCTGTATTCATAGGCTTGTAAGAGACCCTACTACAGAGTCCAGTAATTCCACTGTTGTAACCCTCTAAAAATGGAGTCTTTTTGAGATAGAAAAATCAGAAAGCTTTACCAATGTTGGGATGGGAGGAAAGGTGGTTGTGCTGAAGGAAAAGAATAAATCGAGTGGTTTTTTCCTGGAAGGATGGAAGGGGGAGTATTTTAAATGGTAGAAAGTAATGTGTTTTAAGTGGGGGTTTAAAATATCCTGAATTGAGAGAATAGATTTAGGTACAGAAAATGCAGGATTAGTTACAGGACTGAACTGACATTATACTCTACTTTGCCATATAGTTAGTCAGTTGCTCCCACTCACCCAGAAACTACTCAATAGTTTTTCACTTAGTAAGTTCAACAAAACTGCTACGTAGATATAGATGTACTTGCATATACACATATTTTCCACTAATTTTTTGAAAACACTTAAAATTTATTTGAAAGGCAGAGGTAGAGGGGGAGAGAGAGATCGTCCATCTGCTGGTTTATTCTCCATACAGCTGCAGTGGTTAGGACTAGGCCAGGGTTAGGACCAGGCAGGAGCCAGGAGCCAGGAGCTTCATCTGGGTCTCCAACATGGGTGCAGAGGCTCAAGTACTTGGGCCGTCCTCTGCTGCTTTCCCAGACACATAATGGAGCTGGATCGGAAGTGCGGCAGTCAAGACTGAAACCCCACAGGGGATGCTGGCTTTGCAGGCAGTGGCTTCAGCCATTACGCCACAATGCTGGCCCATATTTATTTGTTTGAAAGAGAGGGAGAGACCAGAGAGAGATCTTCCATCCACTGGTTTACTCCCCAAATAGCCTCATAAGTAAAGCCAACGGCCAGGAGCTCCATTCTCATCTCCCACATGGGTGGACAGGGGCCCAGGCTTATTGGCAGGAAGTTGGATTGGTTGGGGAGTAGCTAGGACTTTGACTGGTCTAATATGCAATGTGGCCTTGCAAGTGACAGCATTTTTTGTTTGTTTTATTTGCAAATGGCAGCTTAACCTGTGCCAGAGCACCAGCGCCTTCAGATTATTTTAACGCAAATGTTTACTCTCAAGAACAAAGAAATTGTGAGGGAATTGTGTTGTGAAAATTCATAATGGACAATATATAAAAGGTTAGCTATTAAGGAACATAATTCTCTTTACTAAGCTATTTCTTTGATGAAGGAGGCTATTTTAAATGCAGGTGTGTTTCTAAAGGAAAAAAGTGAAAGTGAGCACTTTGGTGAGGGAAGCAGGGTGTCTTGTTAGCCCATGAGTGTCGCTCTTAACTACAGGGTGTTTTCAGCTGCACATAGTGCCCTCCATCTCCTCAGACACTGAATTCTGGTGAATTCTGGTTTGCCTGTGTGAGCAGGCAAACCTGCAAGGTGTTCGAAATCTCTATTGTCATATTTGCTAAGGAAGAGGGGCATGTTTAGCCATGATGCTCATTTCCTTTGGGGTAATATGTTGTGAAATCGATTGCTCTAAAAGCCTTCATTTTCAGATATCTAAGGGAGAGTGCTGACCATGAACTCTTGCAGAGTAAACATTTTTTAGAAACTTAGAATGACTCACCTGTCCAGTCATAGAGATCTATCAGGAATTTTGTAAAGGGCGCTAATAGAAATGTCAGGCCCATCCCAGAACGGGCAATAGCTGTAGCAAGAGCCAGTCGTTTTTTGAAGTATTTGGTCATTACCACAGCAGCTACTTGATACAAGAAAGCGGAACCTAAACCTAAAAGAAAAATAATTGTTTGGAATCAGTGTGAGTGGCTTGGTACCAGAGGAGATAGTCTCCTGGATCTTAGAAAATATAAATAAGCCTTTTGGATCCATTGACAGTAGATGGGACGATTTCTTTGCTATCTTTTCTAGTCTTAAATTTACAGTGGACTCACCAGGTAAAAATCCCATGGTCACACAAAGAAAGGGAATGCTTGTAGCCCAGCTGCTGATGAGGTATCCACCAGAAACAAGGAGAGTCCCAAGAATGGAGGTAGTTTTCTCTCCAAGTATGTCACAAATAATGGCAGCCAGGGGACCTGAGGAGAAAAAGCAAAGGCAAGTACTAGGTAAATATACTCAGAATCTCTTCCCCTCTGATCCATGAGAATGAATGATTGATTGAAGGAAAACAAGGGGACTCTACTTTGCACTCTGTGCATCCTTCCAAAAAAGTGCTTGTGTTGGGTTTCTTATACTACCACTCCTTTCGCTTTTAGAAGGAGGGTTTAAAAAAAAAAAAAAAAAAAACAGATTTGGAGGGAAGGCTTAGTGAAAATGCATTATGAACCATCTACAAAATGAGATTGCATATGGCAGTCTATGATTAGAATAAGGCTAATCTGATCATCTACTATATTATAACTTAAAAAAAAAACTAGAGGAGGAAAAACTGGTTCAGCATTTTGAGTGTACTTCAGTGATTAGAACTTCATAATTTGTTCCCAGTTAAGGGCCTCCTCAGTGAACTTAAATGAAGGCTTTACCAGAGTGTAGAAAGAAAATCCATAAAAAATTGAATCATGGAATTAAGTAGTTGATGCTTTAACTTTGTTTGAACCCTGTTTTTCTCAACTTAGTCATCAAGTCAGGGAGAGGCTAAGCATTGTAATTCTGTACTTTCTCAGCACTCATGTTGATAAATGAATGTGAGTGTTAGCAGTGCTTAGTCTTGAATGACTGATGCAGGAATCTCCTTGAAATTGCCCTTTGTGGTCTTTCTTCATGGACAGCAAGCTTATTACCAGTTTTATACCTGCAGAAAAACGAAGTGATGACATGATGGATCCAATCCAGCCAATTTGCTCCGATGTACCTTCAAACTCTTCTTTAAAGACCACAAAGAAAATTGCAAAAGTCTTGGTCATTGCCATCACAAACACATTTACCTAAATCAGAGCAGATCAAAGTGCAAGTCAGGCGGAATGTGAGCAATTGCAAAGGAGGTTACAGCTGCTAGACTTAGGATTCCCTGTCCTGCCAGTATTCACTGGTGTGCTTTATTGGTGGTTATCTGTACATCTTTTATGTTATGGGGGAGTCCTTCGATTAGAGTGGCTGAGCACTTTACATTAAAGAATCTCATTTAATTCTCATTTCCAGGCTACAGAATAGATTTATGAATATTAAAGAGATCTGCAAGTTGAAGTTCAGAAAGAAAAAAATTGCTTACAATGGGGGTGTTGGAGCTGACTCCAGAGCAACCACTGCTTTACTCTGGTGTTACCTTGGTGTCTGATACAAACAGTAGATTCCAGTTACCTTTTCGGGATAAAACAATTGTCCAAGAGGAAGAATTGGTCCTCTCAGTTCTTAGGTTAGCTTTGTTGTAATTGCTCCTAAGTTGAGAACCTTCCCTCACTTGATCCATCAGTAGGTTGACTATGTAATTTATCAGTCCAAATCGGGACACTCTGGAGTGAAAGGGAATGCTTAATGATGGCAGGACAGCGATGGTTAATGAGGACATATGGATCCCCTATGGGTGGGTCATGTGCCCACCCTTTATCCCACCTAATCCTTGGTGGGCACGACTCTATCCCTCCACTGGGAGAATCCTTTAAATACTGATTCCTTCTGTGGGGTACTAACTTGTTTGTAGGAATTTAGCCTGCAGGCAATGAAGAGTTATCCCTCCTCTCCCTTTGGCTTGCTAGCCAGTTTATCCCTTATAGGGTCAGGAGCAGGGACTCAAAGGGAAACCTAACCAGGGGTTGTGTTCACTGTTGAAGCCCAGAAGCCATTGGATGCTCACTGTCTTCAGTGGCTTCCTAGCTTCCCCTCTTCCTTTCTTTGATGTTGTGTTGGCTCTTTTCAGGGCCATCTTGTTTGCTTTCAATGGCTATGCACTGCTAAAGAAACCACAGAACCATGGGTTCCCTTTCACTGGTTCCTCTGTGCTCTGTCCTAACATCATCCACTCTGAAGGTTACTCATGGAGGGGTAGTTTATGAGTATGGCTCTGCAGCCATCCTTGGCTTGCATTGCGGCTTAGCTTCCTACTAGAGGTGTGACTTTGAGGAAACTTCAGCAAAGTGAGCAGAATGGAATTATGAATTAGCTCAAAGGGCTGTAAAGATTGAGGGATTCTGGGGACGTATACTTAATTCTTGGCACTTAAGCAGTTAATTGTGATTTTGTTACTGTGTTACATCTCTGTTTTCCCAAGAGCTTCCCTCTCCTAACTGTTCACCTTATCTGTCTACCTTTGGTCAAGTTGGCCAAACCCAGGTGGATCTTACCCTTAGCCCATGCCTTTTCTTTTCAGTTATGTTGATTCAGACCATCCACCTCCTCACCTGAGTCAGGGTCCTGCTTCCTCTTAGACCCTTCACCTACTTCCCCTACTTTCTAAATAATCTTCAAGACCTTGCTCTCCTTTCATCCCCATCACTGAGTTCTTGTCAGCCTAGTATTGTCTGCGGGCAATGAAGTAAGAGTCAGTGGTTATGCTTAGGGGTTGGGCTGGTGAGGAGGAAGTCTTGTAGCAGATTCACTTCTCTTTCTGATTTGACAGAAAAGTACAAAACTTAGAATGAGCAGTGATGTAGACCACAGGGCAGTATATTCAGAACTGAAAGAGATTTTATCAGGCCCCAGTTCATGTTATTTAGAACCATGTTTTTTTTTGTTTGTTTGTTTTGTTTGTTTGTTTTTTTTTTTTTCAGGGCAGTTACATCAGGAAATCAAACTAGAAAACATACACAAACCTCAGATGACCCAGACTTGTTTCTCTTATTTCAGAATAAAGGATGGCAGTTGTGTTCTCATGAGCAAGAACCCTAAGATGAGGTGTGTCATTCTGTGAAACAAGTGTCCTTATTCTGTGGACATGGTTTCTGTGCCGGTGTCTACAGGCTGCTCGCCCCTTGAGTTCTTAGCCACCTGAATTTGGCCAGTTTTCTTCTTTGATCTTTGTGTCTGGGCATAGCTACAGAGTGGATAGAACTTGCTTTGATAACTTGGTCTGTGGCTTCTGCTGTGTGTGAAGGCCAAGGTCAATGCCTTTGCATCTGCTTTGCTCCCCTCCCTTAATTTGAAGTGTTCTAGCTTTGTTTCTGTTTTGACTCAGATAAATGAGAATCTCTCCTGCTGGAGCCAGTATTGTGGCACAGCAGGTTAAGTTGCCACCTGTAACACTAGCATATATGTCTGAGAGCCAGTTCAAGTCCCAGCTGCTCCGCTTTCCATCCAGTTCCCTGCTAGTATTCCTGGGAAGGCAGCTGAAGATGGTCCAAGTACTTGGTCCCCTGCCATCCACATGGGAGACTTGGATGGAGTTCCAGGCTCCTGGCTAGAGCCTGGCCCACCTTAACTGTTGTGGCCATTTGGGGAGTGAGCCAGTGTTTGGAAGATCTCTTACTCTTTTATCACTCTGCCTTTCAAGTAAATCAATCTAAAATGATGATGATGATAACAATAATAATGGAAATCTCACCTGAGGTCTAGGTTTTCCTTTAGTTAACTAAGTAGACTCCTGGAGTTTATTATCTTATTTAATTGTATGCCTTGCACCAACCTTGGTGGGTTCCCCTCCTGCCCCCAGACTTCACATCCATTATACACACTGTAGGCAGAGCTGTTTCTGTGACTTAAATCTGATCCTATCACTCTCCTGCTCAGTTTTCCCTATTAGCTCCTCATAGCCTCAGGAGACACTGTCCTTAGCGTATCTTTCAGCGCTCCTGCGCATCTCTCCAATTTCCTCACTTGTCCCCTATCTTACTCATAAATGTGTCTCAGTTCATTTCATCCATCCATCCTGTGTCTGCTGTGCTCCAGGCTGTATATCTTGGCTTGGTATACGGTAGTCAGTGGACACTGAGGAGCCTGCAGACATGGTCCCTGACCCCATGGGACACTAGTGAGACTAACTGAATACAGAAAACTGTTACACAGAGATACAAAGTGTGGGAAGAAGGGAGCTCTGGAAGAACACTCTGTTACTTCGCACTCATCTTTTCAGGAGCTCATCTACTGTAGAAAAGTACATTTAAAAAAATATTAATTTATTTGCATGAGTTACAGAGAGGGAGACATACAGAGAGATCTTCCAAACTGGTTCACTTCCCAGATGGCTACAAAAGCCGGGGCTAGGCCAGGCCAAAGCCAGGAGCTCTTCTGGGTCTCCCACATGGGTGGCAGAGATCCAAGCACTTGGGCCATCTTCTGCTGCTTTTCCCAGGCCATTAACAGGGAGCTGGATCAGAAGTGCAACAGTCAGGACAGAAACCAGTACCCATATAGAGTGAGTATTGCAGGCAGCAGCTTTACCTGCTATGCCACAATGTCAGCCCTAAAAAAAGTAACTCACAGAAACACAAGCATCCATATCACCACTGTGGGTGAGGAGCCTGTAAGGATTCAGTAATTTGTGTGTGCTCTAAGAAGTGGCTTCACACTCCCCAAATGGGCTAATTAATTAATCAGTTTTTTTTTTTTCTTAGTAGCAACAACTACTAGATTGGTCAAATAACTTCCCATCCACAGAGGATAACAGTAAAAGTAAGAATGGTTTCTTGGGAGGAGAACGGGAGAATGTGAGATTCTCACCACAATGACAATTCTGCAAAGCCTGACTTGGGAGGTGGCCCAGCCACAGGAAGAGCTCTCAGGGCATCTGTAGTCTTCCTTTAGTAACACATCTGGGGAAAAAAGTTGACATATCTTTTGGTAGTGAAGCTAATGTTTAACAAATAGTGTTCTATTAGGAGTTTGACATTAAATAAGTCCTGGCTAGGGATCTCTGCCCCTGCTTCCCCTTCTTGTTCCAGCTGTAGTATGTGTGCTGCCAGGGGGAGCACTGCTTTCCCCTTTTCTATCTTGGAAGAATTCACACTGTACACTATATTACTAGTCACCAGGATCCATGTTTCCAGCCCTATGAGCTGCTTGCAGAAGGCTGACCAGGAGAGGAGCAACCTGAGAAAATGGTGTTTCTGTGAGTACATCTCAGTTAACAGCTTACCTGGGAGCCCTCTAACCGTGGAGCTGGCCACTCAGCGGGGCTGTTTAGGACCCGACTGTGGAGACTGACCAGTATCAGAACGGCAGGCTGGTGCGGGGGTCACTGCTGTCTCATAGCATGCCCTGGAGCTCCTGGGAAGCTGAGGGGAATTAATTTAAAAACAATGCCTAATGCGGTTACTTAGGGATAAAGGAGAAAACTCAGTCTCCTGCTTCAGAATCCACATCCTTCTTTTCCAGTGCGTCAGGAATACACTTTGGGGTGGGAAGTGAACACCAAGCAGAACAGAGGACAAGCCCAGCCTTTGTCAGGGAAGGGAGCCACTGCTGCCAGGGTTTCATATATGCTGGGCTGAGCTGGGGAGCTTGCCCCCAAAAGCACATTTCAGGACTCTGCAGTGGGGTTTCGAGGAAGGTACAGTGGCTGATGATGACTGGAGCATTCTCTGGCCTGAGGGATGGTAGGGAGGGAGAGTAGAGGACTGGATATTGCTGCTGTCACTCAAGGAAGATGGGCTCAGTGTGGGCCTCTGACCTCTGACCTCAGCAGTTATTGGTAGTTCTGGTCTCTTGGTATTCCATTTTCATGCATACGTCAAGAAATTGCTAAGTGGTCTTATTAAGCTGCTCTGATCCCCTCTCCAGAGAGCCTAGGTAGTAGGAAAGGGGAGAACAGGTTCTTACCAGGAAAAAATGAAACACAATCATCCATCCCCATCCTCCATCCAGGGCCTCAGTGTAAGGTGGAGCCTTCCCCTCCCTCTTCAGCATGGTGCTTCTCTGAAGTGCAGCAGTCCTATGATGAGTGCAAGACACAGTTCACTTGATGAGGAATGTATCTAACTTCCACCTCTCTCCAATGTAAAACCGCTTGCACTGTATTTTAACCTCAATTACATGTGACGTCTGCCTCATGTTACTAAGCATTACAAATCCTGCCCTCTGGTTGTGGAATAGCCAGGCCTAGAATTATGGTCCTTATCCTTCCCCTAGCTCTGCAGGTCAGTTCCTGGGGACACATATCACCCTCCTGGTCCTCTGGGTGAGCTCTTGACTTCAGGAGGCTGGGGAATCTGTTTCTGCCAAGAGCCATGTGGATATTTATAACATAATCCATGAGCCATACAAAATTATCAATTTGAAAAGTAGCTGGCTGTAGATTTATTTAATTTAGTGTCTCATCTGTGTGTCCCACCTTGGCAGGGCCAGACCAAATTATTTCATGGGCCTTAGGTGTTCCGTTCTCCACCCCTGCTTTTAGAGACATAAAAAGGGAGGAGGGGAGCACTGGGTTTAGGCATTCCCTTTACAAAGCACTTGCGAAACTAAGTATTCTAAGGAACTAAGTAGATGTGACAACAAAATGCAATGCCTGTTTCTTGAGTGAATCTTGGATTAGGAAAAGAAAAGTTGTAGAGGACAATTTGGAAGCAGTGGGGGAATTTGAGTCTGGACTGCGTAATAGAGAATACTGTATCAGGGTGAGGGCTCTTGGGTAGAATGTCTTGTGGCTGTGCAGGAGAATGTTCTTGTTCTAGGGAGACACATGCTAACGTATTCAGGACTGCTGGGATTTTAGGAATGGTTCAGTAAAATACATGAAGAGAGGTGGCAAAAAGAAAATGTGCAGAAGAGATTGAGCACTCATTTCCCACTGTGAGGTTGAAGACAGTCTCCTACTGGGAAGGGGAATGGGCTGTGTGGTGAGCAGGCTGGATGGGGACAGGGTCAGCAACCACCCAACCCCACGCAACCCCACCCACCCCACGGTCACATCTCCATCTTACCCTTGGTGTGCTCAGCGAAGGAATCTTCCACAGACCAGGCAATTTCAGAAGGAATACACTGTCTTCTAGAACGTTTCTCTCCTAAGGCATTTTACCCCACTGCTCCGTGAAAACAAGTGAGCCTTGTAAGAGCTGAGGAGAGCAGGCCAGTTTAGGTGGACTGCACTTCCTGAGGGGAGGAGGACAGGCTGTAATGTGATTCCCTCCAGGCCCGCCCTCCAGGCACCCTTAGTGAGGTAGAGTTTTTTTTACCCGGGGCTCAAAAACAGTCATTGACTAAACCAAAAGGAAAATCCTTTCTGTAACTGCCCAAGGCAGAGGGCGGGGCTCCAGGACTCAAATACCAGTGTCTCAGAAGTTCCCATGGGAGATCCTGAAGACTTGCTTTTCCTAAGGAAGAAGTATGCAGCTGTCCAGGCAGTGGGAAGTACTTCCCTACGCCACTCCAGCCAGTCCACCACTCCGTAAGAGACCTCTGTGGGTGGCCTTTGTGTATTGACCCCAGCCTTCAGGTTACTAGTTTGGGCCCCATTTTAATTAACTTTATTGCTATCTGATTACCTCAACTTCAGGCACCTCCCATGAAAGATGTCTACTTGTAATAATGATTTTTCTTAGAGTAATTGTAATGAAACTTTCTTACTGCATTTTGAAAATGGTAAAGGCTGTGTCTCCTAAATTATGTGGCTATTACAACTCCACTTACCCCCACTCTGTCTCCTTCCTCTGCCCCACCCTCTGTATTAAAAAAAAATCTTAAAAAGTCACCAGGAAATTGCCTTTCATCCCCCTCACACCAACATTCCAGATTTTAAACCAGAGTTTATTGTAGACTAAGGTGTTGTTTTTCTTGTTTTATCTGGAAAATTGTTACATATGTATGCCTGTTCCTTTTTTGAAAGCAAGAGGCTTCTCAGGCTCTTAAAACCAAACTTTATAATAATTTTTGATGAAAGTGCTTGCAGAAGGACAGCTTAGTCTTTGGGGAGGGTGTCCTTGAAGTGTGACCATGGAACGATTATGCGGTTTTGTGGGGTTTGGTTGTAGGGACCAAATAACCTTTCAACACACAGCAAAAATCCAATGAGAAGGTAAATGCGTTTCAGAGCCAACACATTCCAGAACACATTTTTAGTTCCTGTCTGTAGGACTGATTGCTTAGTGGTATGTCCGTTGCTCTTTTGAAGCAGGGCTGTCTTTGATTGTAATCACAGGGTGAGATGAACCGAGGCTTGATATTGATAGAGAACTCTGAGGTTGAGGGCTGGGCTCTGTTTTGAAATGTGGCAGGACAGTGAGTCATTCAGAGGCTGAGAGGGCTACAAAATTCTCAGAGAAGTTCCAAACCTATCTTTCATGTGGGTACATTAGCAGGAAGCTTTGAGCCGTGGTAGGACATGTAGACTGGGTTAGAAATTCAACTTTTATTCGTGCAGAGTTTGGTATGTGCTAGGTAGAGCTTCCATATGTGCCCAGCACCTCCACCCAGCCCCGCCTGCCACTTGGAGTCTGAGGAGTTTCCCTGGTTGACGGCAGTTCACAGGTGTTGTCGTAGCTTGTTGCTGCAGGGATGAAATGCATCCTGTGTGACTCCACTCTTGGAAGTTTACATCTGGCTTTTTCTGTACTTTGTGTCTCTGAATGTTTCCAAAACTAAAATGGAAGTAATATTATCTCTGCAAGGTTGCTGTGAGAATTAACAATAGATACCTAAGGTGAATGCACATTATTAATAGATCTATTCTGGTTAGCCAGGTGGGGGCTAATAGCAAGAGCAAAGAATTCTTAAGCCACTTTTGAGATATTAGTGAACATTTTGGCATCTTTACCTAGTGGACTTAATAAAACTGATAGGGTCTTTAACTAAATATGAATGATTCCTTCAAGCTCTAACCTTTTTATTTTTAAAGACTTATTTTAATCATTTTAAAGATAGAATGACAGAAAGAGACACAGAAAGACAGAGATCTTCCATCCTCTGGCTCACCCCCGAATGGCCCCAATGGCTGGGGCTGGGCTAGGCCTGAAGCAAGGAGTCTAGAACTCCATCCAGGTCTCCCAAGTGGATGCAGGGGTCCAAGCACTTGGGCCATCTTCTGCTGCTTTCCTGGAGCACATTAGTAGGCAGCTGGATCAGAAGCAGAGCAGCTGGGACTTAAACCAGCTCTCTGACACAAGAAGGCAGCATTTCAAGTGGTGGCCCAGTCTGCCACAACAGGAACCCTGAGCTCTAACCTGTTAACTCTGCCCTAAAACTGTTCAACAAGAAAGCCGCTCGCTTTCCTAAGCCACCACCACTGCCCTCATTCCACTGGCAAATATAGCTAGTGGAGAATTCTCAACATTTAGGAACTTGGAGAGTTTTATGCAGCGTTACCATCTAGAATGAAGAGATTCTGTTGTTAACTAAATCTTTGCCTGTCCTCATTCAGTTCTTGTGCAGGGAAGAGTTAAACATAGCAGCCCTGAGACTGCTGTGCTCCGAAAGGCTGGCTTACAAGGGTGGCCGCAGACTGGTGTCTGGGTGCTCTGATTTCATGAGGCTTCCCGCCACTCTCTGCGTGACGAGCAGCTCACTGTGCTGGGACTGCAAACACTGGTGCTGAACACTTGCCATCCTCTGGAGTCTGCGAGTCCGTGTGTGCTGGGCAGGGGGAGCTTACGTGACCAGCCCCCTCCTGGACTTTGAGTCTCTAGTGACTCCCTGGTTGGCAATGTTTCACACATGTCACACCTCATTTGCTTCAGGAATTAAATGCATCTTGTGTGACTCCACTGAAAAAGGATTCTTGGAAGTTTGCACCTGGGTTCTTTTGGATTTTGCCCCATCCATCTTTTCTCAGCTAATTCTGCTTCATATCCATTTGCTTTAATAAACGACAAACAGTCCTTTGAGTCCTCTTAGTGAATCATCAAACCTGATGTCTGGGCTCTCCAGAGCGGGAACGAACTTCCGGGGAGAAGAGGATTGAGACTGATTTACTCCAAGAAATTGGTGTACACGATTATGGAGACTAAGAAGCCCAAGATCTGCAGTCAGCAAGCCGGGGACCTTGGAGAGTTGGTAGCATAGGTCTATTCTGGCTTGAGTCCCCAGGCCTGAAAACAGACTTGTCCAGTCCAAGTCGAGGTCTAAAGGCAGGACAAAGACCAATGTCCTAGCTTGAAGATGCACAGAGAATTTTTCCTTAGACTTTTCTTATATTCTGGCCTTTGAGGGATTGCTTGAGGCCCAGCGACATGGGGGAGGGCCATCTTCTTCCCCAGTCTACTCATTGAAATGTAGAAATGCTCCAAGACACACCCAGAAAAAAAATATTAGCCAAATAGTCGGGCACCTTGTGGCCCCATTGACAACACAAAGGTAACTTTTAGATGCAGTGCTGGGAAAGCCCGTCACCCTTCAGCTTTAGCTCTGTACAGCCTGGAAAATCTGCCCCTTTGGCATCAAGTACCCTAGAACCTACCTGAAAGGGTTGTGAAGGGTGAGAAAGGGTGTTAATGTGTTCCCTTCATTCACTTCACAGTTGCCATCTGTGTACCAGACACTGCTAGACAGTGGCGGACTGAGGCTATCAGGAAATGTGGCACTTCGGGAGCAGGGCCTGCGTCATGTAGGGCCTGGGAGGCCGTGGCAGGAATTTTGGATTTTGTTCCAAATGCAGTGGGAGACTTAGCACTGTGACTAGCACATAGGAAGCACTCAGGTCGTGTGTTACTGAGCATCACCACCAGGAGGCTCTGTCAAGTCCAGTCTGAACAGCCAGAATCAAACCCAGACATTAGATCTCTCTAATCTTTTCCTCTGCTCGAGTTGACTGGCTCTGAGGCACTCGTTATTCCTGTCACCTAGACTAGAAAACTCACCTTTAATTCTTCGTTCTTTGTTCCCTTTCTGCCAGAAAACTCACCTTTAATTCTTCGTTCTTTGTTCCCTTTCTGCCAGTTTGCTTTCTCTGTCTCATATTTGTTTCTGAGCTAATTATCTTGCTGATACTATTTATTCTGTAAATTGGGGATAATACCTCATAAGGTTTAAGGTTAAATGGACTAAATGCTTGCAAATTACTTAGTATTGCCTAGCATGTAGCAAAAACTCAATACTGATTCTTAATAGTTTAGGATAGGAATTAAAGATACTTAGGTGAGTAAGAGGAAGTTTTTCTTCTGGAAAAAAAATGAGTTTGGTCTACAGATCAATCTTAAAATTCCATATTTACTTTAACCTGTTCCAAAACCCCTTGTTAACAAGATAAGGCACAACATCCCTAAAAAGTGGATATTCAAGTTCCTCAGGTTAGCTGCCCTACCTTTCAGTTTTTCCACTCTCTCACAGGCCATACTAAAGTGTCTGCTATTACATAAATATTCCTTTTGGGCTATTCCATCCTCGTCTTCTGCTTGGGAAAGCGTGTGTCTTTGCTGGTCCAGTTCTTATGGTACGACTGTTTTATCAGGTATTCTTCTGTTCAAGTATTTATTCAGTGCCCATTTTCTGTATGTATCTCAGGTTAAGTGTGGTAAACACACACACACCCCTTCTATCAAAGTCTTTAAGGGCTGGAGCCATGTCTTATTCAAAATCATTATTCTCTGGGGCCGGCGCTGTGGGTACAGCCGTCACCTTTGGGTAAAGCGTCCCGTATGGGTGGCAGTTTGAGTCCTGACTGCTCCACTTCCAATCCAGCTGTCTGCTATGGCCTGGGAAAGCAGTAGATGGCGGCTCAAGTCCTGGAGCCCTTGTACCCGTGTGGAAGACCCAGAAGAAGCTCCTGACTTCTGATCAGTCCAGCTCTGGCTGTTGGGGCCATTTGGGGAGTGAACCAGCAGATGGAAGACCTCTCTCTTTGCCTCTGCCTCACTGTACCTCTGCCTTTCAAATAAAAAAATATTTTTTTAAAAAAATCATTGTCTTCACATAGCAGCTTATACATTGTAGATGCCTATTATTTTGGGCTAAATAATCTGGAAATCTTTCTATATTGTCAAGTGTTAAATTGCTAAAGAGCAACACATTGAGGACTTTTGTGCCTTTCTATACAAATTATTGTGAACTATGTAAAGGCTGAAGAGAAGATAATGTTGACTTACACTTCCAAACGCTAAGGGTTTTTTTTTTTTTTTTTTTTTTTTCTGACCAAACATACCTATTTGGTGGTCTGATGAAGAGGACTGGCTGTGAGTTGAGAGTCCTGACTCCAATGGTGACTGCCAGTTCCTTAGCTTTAGTTACACGAGTGTAGAATAGGGCAATCAACAGTACCTAATGTATAGAGTTGGTAATGAGCATTCAATCCTGGCATGTAGTAAGTACTTAATATGTTATAATGAAGTAGGAGTATGCTTGATTTAAATATTTATAGGCACTTCCGTGAGAATACAGACATTACAGAAAGCTTCTGAAAGAGGAAGTAATTTAGAAGAGTCCTTTTTTGAAAAAATTACAATTTGATAATTTTTTAAAAATGAGCATTTAATAAGAGTTTAAAGAATCCAGAAAAGCTGCAAGCTTGCCTTCAAGCAGATTTATTGGACATAACAAGAATCTAACACACAAGTAACCTGGATCAGTACAATATAAACTTTACTAATAACCTGATTGGTCTGTCCATACAGTGTTAAAAAGCAACTAACTCTAAAATAAATAGAATAGTGCCTAACTTCTGGAACTTTAGAAGCTCCATAACATGTTGGATCAAGTCTCTGACATGCTGCTGGAGCACTGCTGACAGATGTCAAGAGGCCATTTTGTGCACTGCCACTGTGATGCCATCGTGTTTCTGGATCATGATGTTCCTGAAGGGCAAAGAGGAAAATACTCAGTAAAGCATCACAAGTTAGACAAGATGTTGTCTGGTTTAGGACACAATTTTAAAAAACAGTATTTTATTTTGGACACAACTTCTGGGAAATACAGAAAAGCTTAAGGGGGCTGGTGCTGTAAAGCTGCCGCCCACAGTGCCGGCATCCCATATGGACAATGGTTCAAGTCCCAGCTGCTCCATTTCCAGTCCAGCTCTCTGCTATGGCCTGGGAAAGCAGCAGAAGATGGTCCAAGTCCTTGGGACCCTGCACCCATGTGGAAGACTTGGAAGAAGCTCCTGGCTCCTGGCTTCGGACTGGACCAGCTCCAGCCATTACAGCCATTTGGGGAGTGAACCAGTGGATGGCAGATTCTGCTTCTGCCTCTCTGTAACTCTGCCTTTCAAATAAATAAATTAAAAAAAAAAAAAGTGTAAAATACAAAAATGAAATGAATTCTTAATCCTATTATTCATAGACAACTATTTTTAATTTTCCTATTTGCATATATTCTCTTTTGGACAAAACAATATTGTGCATAGTTTTGTATTATCTCTTCACATCATCGTATTCTAAAGACCCTCACTTGGAATACGTTTAGTATTTCTATTACTTTAGAAATAGTTTTGATGGGGGCTGGCACTGTGGCAAAGCGGGTAAAGCCGCCACCTGGGGCACTGGAATCCCATATGGTCGCTGGTTGGAGTTCCAGCTGCTCCACTTCTGATCCAGCTCCCTGCTAATGCACCTGAGAAAGCAGTGGAAGATGGCCCAACTGCTTGGGCCCCTGCACCCACGTGGGAGACCTGGAAGAAGCTCTGGCTCCTGGCTTCAGATCAGCCCAGCTCCAACCATTCTGGCCATCTGGGGAGTGAACCAGCAGATGGAATCTCGGCCTCTGCCACCCATGTGGGAGACCTGGATGAGGCTCCTGGCTCTGGCCTGCCCCAGCCCTGGCCATTGTGGCCACCTGAAGAGTGAACCAGCACATGGAGGATTCTTTCTTTCCCTCTTTGTGTAGCTCTTTCAAATAAATAAATCTTAAAAAAAAAAAAAAAAAAGAAAAAAGGCTTGATGCTTTGATTAGTTTTCTTTTGTGGTACTTAATTACTTCTGTTTTCCTGGGAGACTAATAACAGTTTACTCTTCATTTAAGTGTCACTGTGGTCTGCCAGCACATTGGCTTCCAAGATTCTTGTCTGCTCCCATGGCCCAAAGGGTCAAGAACCTGCTCCGACATACTTTGAGTATGGAGTCACTGAGGAACACAGAGCAGGCCTCAGTCAAGTTGTCCAGGGGTTTTTCTGAACAGAAAGGAAAGGATCTGAGGCCTCTACTCACCCATTATCTGATTCTAGGCACACCACAGGAATGTCGGTGGGGTCAGAGGTTAGCTTTGCTGCTTGCTGCGCCAGAACAGAGATCACTCCAGCATGCTCATCTGACAGCGTCCCACGGCCTGAGAGAGAGAGAGAACGATGGTATCAGGGCACCTGGTGAGCCACAAGTAAGTTTGGAGCAACAGTATCTCACTGAATGATTCACAAAGAGGAGGTTCAGGTCCTGGTCCTTTAAGTTTGGTGCTTACATGAAGTGACTGTTCCCTGACGCTCAGTGGTTACATCAGTGAGAAAGCCGGGCAACAAAAATCAATAAATCAGTAAGCTATAACTGACACACCTATCACCATCTGTAAACAGCTTCAACATACCAGGACGCTGTAATTCAGGTCACTCTGAAAACCATAAATTCACTGGATAGGAACCTTGCGAAAACAAAAAGCTTAGAGGTGAGATTGACAAAAAGCAGTCAATACGCGCAAGAGGCTTGCTGAAGCTAATTCATTCCTCATGGGAAAGCGGATTTCCTCTCCTGAGGAGTCACGCAGTCTCAGATCTCCTCGATGGCACGTGTGAACATTCTGTGAGCAGTTATTTCTGCTAGCATAGCTACTTGGCTGTTTTCAAATGCCCACACGATTGTCTTCTACTCCTGACTGCTTTAGCTTGTATATGATAACGGAACCTTGGGTCCCAAGCACAAAATGTAACTGCTGAGTTTACTGTGTCCTGTATGTGTGTATGAAGGCAGGCCAAGCAGAACCGTGCCTGTGGCTGGTGGGCAGAGGGATTTCCTGACAGCAACTCACCAGCACGGCGCCATCTTTTGCACCTTGAAGCTTTCTTGAAGCAACTCTAATAGAGTTTCACACTTCATTTCAGTATTTCCATTAGTGAGTCTGGCAAAAGCGTCAAAACATTTGCCTTTTTTCTCCAAGCAACTGAGTTATAGATTACCGCTTTGTTACCCTTGCAGCAAAAATTCAGAGCTTTAAAAATTCTTGCACTAAGACGTGTCCTGGGTTTACTAGTTCTGACATTAACTAAATGCTCTAGTTATCTATCATTTTCCTTATCTATCATTTCCTCATCTGTGATTGCTGTCATTCTCTGAGCATGTTCCATCTGGGTGTGCACTGTCTTAAGCATATTATATAATCTCACGGCATTGTGATTGAAGAGGCTTTGGACCCTGACACCATTTCTAGCTCAGCCAATTACCGCCCTATGACCCTAGGCAAGCTACTTTACCTCTGTGCCTCACGTTGGTTGTTAGGAGGAGTGCGTGAGTTACCATTAGAATGGTACCTGGAACTCAAGGAAGAGCACGCAATTCTGTAAGCACTAGTCTCAGTAAACAAGAGCCCAGTGAAGCTATGCCATGGAGGCCGGTGCCATGACACATCTCTGATGCCGGCATCCCATATTGGCAGCGGTTTGTGTCCTTCTGCTCCATTTCTGATGCAGCTCCCTGCTAAAGGTCTGGGGAAAGCAGTAGATCGCCCAAGTGTTTGGGTCCCTGCCACTCTTGTGGGAGACCTGGATGATTCTGGCTTTGGCCTGGCCCAGCCCTGGACATTATAGCCATCTGGGGAATGACTCAGAGGATGCAAGATCTCTCTGTCTCTCCCTCTCTCTAATTCTTTCAAATAAATAAATAAATATTAAAAAAAAAAAAAAGTTCCTGAAAGGTTCATTTAGGCCCAAGTTCACACAACTAGCAAATGAAAGAACGGGGTGGGGGTGGGGGGAGTGTTTGAACTCAGCTGTGCCAAACTCAGAATCTCCTATTTTCACTGTTGGTGTACTTGGACTAGAACACTGCACCCACCCATCATGCAGGGATACTGTGGAAAGTGCAGCAAGGCAGGTGGAGCCTCGCATATGGCTCAGCACATGCTCACAGCTCTCATGGGCGAGTCCTGTCTAGGCCCAGTTTGAAATGACTCAAATACTATTTGGTCAACACCAGGTGTGGCGCAGTCCAGCAAAGGGTTGGCAGGAGATACTTACAGCCCAGATTGAGGCCTTGTGAGTCTGTGCACAGGACTCCAACAATGGACGGGTTCTTCATCCTAATTCCAGAAACACAGGAGAGGTGAGGCAGAGGGCTTGAGAAAGTGGATGCAAACGGTTATGACGCCCGTGGGCCTGCCATGCTATCAGGCATTGCCTAAGTGCTTTAAATGGGTTTCTCGACCTCTTTCCTACCACACTCCCCAACCCCGAGCAAAATTAAAGTAGTAATTGAAGCCAGCTGCAGAGAAGAATGAGTATCTGCTGGGTTTGGGAAGCCTAGGCGCACGCAACAGTTCGGATGCGGGGTTTTTCGCCGTTCTAACCGCACGCTTTACGTAACAGCTCAGGTAAGACAACTGGACAAACTAAGAGGCGTTGCCTCCCGGAAGGGAAGTGGGATGACGAGGGAGTGGCTGGGAGGGTGGTGTCTGCACGTACACCTTAGACTTTTGCAGCTTTGAGTTTACACAGACGTTAACACATTTAAGGAACAGGTATTTCCTTAAACACCAAATGACAGATCGCACACACGATCTGTGTGTGTGTGTACCCGGTGCGGCCGACGGCACACCTGCGACACCCTCCTGAACGACCTAATCCTGCGGACGGCGCCCCGAGAGGAAGGCTGCGGGCCCCAGCGGGATATTAACTTCGGGCCACCGGCCCCGTCCCCTCGGCCAGCCTTCTGGGGTGGCACGGCGTCCCCGAGCCGCCCTCCGGCGCTCGCGGGTCTCGCCCGCTGTCCCGCACGTAACCCGCGCTGCGACCTCAGAACTGGCCGGAGAGGCCCGCACTGCTCACGTGTCCTCCAGGTGCTGCTCCAAGGTCGCCTCCATCCCGCCGGCCGGCAGCGCACCCCCGCCCGGGCCCCCGGAGCCGTCGCGTTCCGCTTCACTGCGGGCCTCCGTCACGTGACGCGAGCCTTCCGCTGCCCGCGACGGCGCCGCCGATGGGACAAAATTCGCCGCGGCGCCACGTCCGAGTTCTCTCCCGGAAGACGGCGCCGAGCCGTGCTCCCGTCTCCCTGAGGGTTCGGGCTGCGCGGGGTGAGAGTCTGCAGCCAGGCCCCAGCGCCTCAGTTCCTGGCCTGCAGTCTGGCCCAGTGGTTCTTGTCCGTTGGTCTCAGTGCAAACGACTCCGAGACCCAAGGACAGGATGGTGTTTGACAGTAACCCTGCGGGCCCGGCGGGATGGAGCAAGTGGCCAGAGGAGCCACGGGCTCCTTGAAGGGCGTACACCCGGGACAAAGGACGAGGTGGCCCGCGGGTAAAACCCGGAGCGGGGCGCTGGCAAAACGTGTTGGAATTTTAACTAAGACACTGCTTTTCCTGTGATCAGGGCTCAGGAAGGTTTGGGGCCAGAAGGTGCCGTGTGATACCTAACGCATAAGGAGGACTGGGGTGACACTCCCTGAAAACAGCTTTACAAGCTGTCAAAGCCAAGATTAAAAATAAAGGAAGGAAACCAGCCACACTTCCTACACTTCCACTGCCAGAAGTGACTGCAGTCCCTTTCAGGTGGATGTATTTGCAGAGGTATGCTCTAAATGGCTTTTGTTCTTTTCTAAGCAAAAAAAAAAAAAAAAAAAAAAAAAAAAAAAAAAAATATTGGACATGATTCCTTTGCTGAGCCTTTGCACAGGTTTTAGCATAAATGTCTGTTCGTGTTAATAAATACTTAGTTTTGAGGCCGGTGCTGTGGCACAGTGGGTTAAAGGCTTGGCCTGAAGCACCAGCATCCCATATGGGCGCCAGTTTGAGCCCCAGCTGCTCCACTTCCGATCCAGCTCTCTGCTATGGCCTGGGAAAGCAGTAGAAGATGGCCCAAGTCCTTGGGCCCCTGCACTGGCGAGAGAGACCCGGAGGAAGCTGCTGACTTTGGATCGGCACAGCTCCGCCATTGCAGTCATCTGGGGAGTGAACCAGCGGATGGAAGACCTCTCTCCCTGTCTCTACCTCTCTCTGCAGCTCTTTCAAATAAATAAAATAAATATTTAAAAATAAATACTTAGTTTTTATTAATTGCAAAATATTCCATGTCTCAGCCGTATGTGCTTTAACTGACTTGACCAACTCCATGTTAATGTACAGTTTGGATACTAGCTTGCTGGGTGAATATCCTCTTGGCTAAATCTCTGTGCAGTTTAAAATTTTCCTGGTAAGCTACTAGAAGTGGAATTACCGGGCCAAAGGATATGGTTGTTTTTAAGACTTGATGGACGTGAATTGCCGGCACAGAGGTAGTGCCAGCGTGCACTCAGATGGTAGCACTTTGGTGAAAACAGGAGCGCACCTGTGTGTCCTGCCAGTTCTGCTAAGCCTCGCCTTACCGGAAGCGTGCTTGAGCCCTCTCACCTGCAGCTGTTACCCGGGCTCCCTGCTGACTATGGCCAGCTCAGGGCGCTTTCAGCCTGGAGGGCAAAGTCCCTCTTCATTCCCAGAGGTCAGAGGGGAGCTTCCAGCTTCCTTCAAATCCCACTTTGTGCGTTGCTTTTCAAGGGTTTTGGATTCCTGCCCTAGAAGAGTTATTTCTGGTAAAGGACAACACAATATGGACCATAGACATTTTTAGGAAAAAGGATTTAAAAGCTGACCTCACAAGATTGCAATCAGACATGTAAGTGAAGTACTTACTAACTACTGGAAACCAAGTTGTGACGGCTGGCTGGGGAGCCAGCCTGCTTCCTGCTGGTCATGCGTTGCAGGACCGCCCCCTTGTGGTTACTCGGTGTGTAACGTTTTACCGGGCTGCGAGGTGCAGCCTTGGGTTTTTGGTGTGTGTGTGTGTATGTGTTTAACCTCTTAGGCAGCCTGCAAACAGAAATAAGATGACAGGGCAATCCTTATGTGAAATGATCTGGTAGCCACATCAGAGAAGTCTAAAAACATGTGAATTAACTTTTAAGAAAATATTTTACATACCCAGACAGTATATCCAAAATATCCTTTCAACATAAAGTTTTCAAAATCCAATGTACATTTCATGCTTACCAGCCCATTTCCATTCACAGGATCCACGTTTCAAGTGCTCAGCAGCCGTGAGAGGCTGGCAGCCACAGCAATGGTCAATGTGGCTCCCGCGGATCTCAGATGACCGCCAAGCCAGATGGCACTGAGGCTGCTCATTGGTATTTAGGCTGCAAGGAATGCCGGCAAAGGGGAACAGAGGGAGGAGGATGGCAGTGGGCACACACCAGAGGCAGGAGGGCAGCCTGCTCCGCCAAGTGGCTCGCTCTCTGCTGCTACTGGTTTGCCCCATGCAGTCTGGCACAGGGAGCATTTGCCTGCTAGTATTTTTTTTTTAAAGACTTATTTATTTGAAAGTCAGAGTTCTGAGGGGCAAGGAGAGTCTTCCATCCTCTGATTCACTCCCCAGATGTAATGGCTGGGGCTGGGCCAGGCTGAAGCCAGAAGCCAAGAGATTCCTCCAGGCCTCCCATGTGGACAGGGGCCCAAACACGCGGGCCATCTTCTACTGCTTTTCCAGGTGAATTAGCAGGGAGCTGGATTGGAAGTGGAACAGCCAGGACTTGAACCGGTGCCCATATGGGATGCTAGTGTCACAGGTGTCAACTTTACCTGCTGCGCTGCACTGCCAGCCCCTGTACTTTTTTTATGCTCACTTTGTAATGTCGGAAAGAGCTCCTTCTCTGGGTCTGCCTCCCGAGTGCCACAGAGCACCACGGGAGTTCCATAGATTACTGAAGCGTCTTGATGGTGGCCCGGGGAAAAGACTGCATGGCAGGCAAAGAGTCTTCAAGTCCTGAATGCCGACTGCATTATCCTCTCCTGTCTCCCCTCCTCCATAAACCAGTGCCTGGAAAAATGGAAATCCCAGCAGGCCCTCGTCCGCGTGCCCTGACTGGGAGGATGCAATGCAGAGGGGGAGCCCCAACCCCAGAAGTCATCTCACTGCTGTTTGCTGGGCCCTTACCCCAAGCAGATGTCTCTGAGGGATGCCTCTGAGAAACACAGCTCTGGCGGAGTCAAGCTGTGCCCTGGGTGCAGAGGACTCTGCTGCCCAGTGCCTGTGGAGCCCTCCTGTGCCACCAGGGGGCACCACCACCACAGACAACCATGGGTTGAGAGCAGTGCATCCATGAGTCAGAGGGGCTGGCAAAGCATGGCCCAGACAGCGTTAGGCCAGGTGGGCGGCCTTGGAGTCAGACCGACAGGGATTTGCATCCTGCCTGCCCGCCTCCCTCCACCTACTCGTGTGATGTAGGGGTACCCACCAGTCAGAGGGGCTGGCTCAGCGTGGGAATCAAAAAGCAGCTTCCCCGAGCTGCTTGTCACCCAGGTGAGGACAGACATCAGAGTATAACTGACAGTCGGTGGCCGTGAGCTACGTGGTGGCTGGAGACCTCAAGCAGGCTGGTGTAATGTAGCTGCTGTGTCCCGCGGTGCCCAATGGGAGAGAGACACTTGTGAGACCTTCCCAGAGTCTAATGTAGCTCATACAGATTATAAAATGCAGCGAGCAAAACTGTCACCTGAGATTCCGGCCCTCACGTGCGTGTGAGGTCAGGTAGCATGGGGCAGGCCTGGGAGACGATGGAGGTGGGGAAGGGCCTGCCACCAGGTCCCCAGGAGCCTGCCAGCCCAGGCCTCCATGCCTCTCTGTCCCTTCGTGCTGCAGCACAGGACGCCGGAGGGGAGTAGGTGGGGGATGGGCACCCCGTCCTTATTCCCAGCAGCCGCCACCTGAGAACCAAGATCTGGATGCAAAGCCAGCTCACTCCTGATGCCAGAGTGATGCCCATCGCAGGTCACACACACGGAGTGACAGCTGTGTGCCCGGCCCCTCACAGCCTTAGCAGCCTCCACCTTCATAAGGACAAATGCTATCACTGTCCCCGTTGGCAGTATAAAACACCCCTGAGGCTCGGATCTCGGTATTTGCTCAGACCAGCCTGCCTGGGAGAGGGGAAGCCCACAGAGACCCTCTCTGCTCTGTGGCCTTGACTTCCATCGCTCCGCCAGCAACTGGGCCCTGGAACTCCGAGGGCTCTCGGGGGCCCAGTGCAGGGCTCTTGTGTTCCAGAGAAGAAACCCGAGGCTCAGAAAGCAGTGGCCAGTGCAGAACGCTCCACTGCGAACTCTTAGCTTGCTTTCCAGTGTGCCAATTGCAGGGTGCTGCTGGGGGCTGGCTGTGAGCTTTACTTAAATTAGCTCCGGCCACATCTTTGCTCTCCAAGAATTCCTGTGTGGAAGTCTTGGCCTCCAGCACCTCAGAATGTGGCACGATTTGGAGGCAGGGTCTTGATAGAGGGAACTGAGCCGCAGTGAGGTTGCTGGGGTGGGCCCTCCTCCAGCACGACCCGTGTGCTTGCAAAGAGGGGAAATGCGGATGCAGAAGCGGAAAGAGGGTAGGCGATGGGAGGAGATGCAGGCAGCACAGGCCCAGAGCAGCACCTTCCCCACTCACATTCAGCGGAAGCAGCCCTGCGACATCTTGACCGTGGACCTCTGCCCCACAGAACTTGGGACTGCAAACTTCTGTGGGTTAAGCCGCTCCGTTCGCTGGGGTCTGTTAGCATTGCCAGCAACAACACGCACTGGTGCATCCGTCAGGTCCACAAGTCAGAGACAGCACGGTCGTGTGGCACAGGACGGGTTGGGAAGGTCGCCCTCACAGAGCCAAGAGGCGAGAGTGGACGATCTTGCCGGCTTGCCCACAGCCTTGGTACTTGGCTAAGCAGAGAATTGTTTCTTTCCCTGGACATTTGGCCAAGAGCGACGGCATCACTCATTTGCAGCTTTACAACTCTGAGCCCGGCCTGTAGGTGGCGCTCAGTAAACGCGTGGAGAAGCAGGCTCCTGGCCGCTCTCACCCCAGCCTCTTTTAAGCCATGGGCTGCGCAGGGGACTAGGACATGAGGTGTCAGTGGCTGGAAGTTGACACCGGACACTTGTCTCTTACAGTTTGGAGCTAAGCTCGAGTTCTGGGAGACTCAA